GAACAATTTGGGGTTAAACCATTCGAATTAATGGCCTAACCACTTGAAGTATGTGCACACCCATGATCTCCTTACACCATAAAAACTTAATTCCAATTAAGCTTTTAATGTACCTAGTGTGTCCCTTTAAAATTGATGATGTAAAAGCATGGGGCTTTGCAGTAAAAGAAGACAATATAAATGTATAATTTTATTTGTATATCTTAATGTATTGGCATATATTTTATTGAATACAGTTGCAAGAAAAAGTATGTGAACCCTTTAGAATGATATGGATTTCTGCACAAATTGGTCATAAAATGTGATCTGATCATCATCTAAGTCACAACAATAGACAATCACAGTCTGCTTAATACTAATAACACACAAAGAATGAAATGTTGCCATGTTTTTATTGAACACACCATGTAAACATTCACAGTGCAGGTGGGAAAAGTATGTGAACCCCTAGACTAATGACAATTCCAAGAGCTAATTGGAGTGAGATGTCAGCCAACTGGAGTCCAATCAATGAGATGAGATTGGAGGTGTTGGTTACAGCTGCCCTGCCCTATAAAAAACACACACCAGTTCTGGGTTTGCTTTTCACAAGAAGCATTGCCTGATGTGAATGATGACTTGCACAAAAGAGCTCTCAGAAGACCTACGATTAAGAATTGTTGACTTGCATAAAGCTGGAAAGGGTTATAAAAGTATCTCAGTCCACGGTAAGACAAATTGTCTATAAATGGAGAAATTTCAGCACTGCTGCTACTCTCCCTAGGAGTGGCCGTCCTGTAAAGATGACTGCAAGAGCACAGCGCAGACTGCTCAATGAGGTGAAGAAGAATCCTAGAGTGTCAGCTAAAGACTTACAAAAGTCACTGGCAAATGCTAACATCCCTGTTAGCGAATCTACAATACGTAAAACACTAAACAAAAATGGATTTCATGGGAGGATACCACAGAGGAAGCCACTGCTGTCCAAACAAAACATTGCTGCACGTTTACAGTTTGCACAAGATCACCTGGATGTTCCACAGCAGTACTGACAAAATATTCTGTGGACAGATGAAACCAAAGTTGAGTTGTTTGGAAGAAACACACAACACTATGTGTAGCGAAAAAAAAGGCACAGCACACCAACATCAAAACCTTATCCCAACTGTGAAGTATGGTGGTGGGGGCATTATGGTTTGGGGCTGCTTTGCTGCGTCAGGGCCTGGACGAATTGCTATCATCGAAGGGAAAATAAATTCCAAAGTTTATCAAGGAACTTAAGGCCATCTGTCTACCAGCTGAAGCTCAACGGAAGATGGGTGTTGCAACAGGACAATGACCCAAAGCATAGAAGTAAATGAACAACAGAATGGCTTAAACAGAAGAAAATACGCCTTCTGAAGTAGCCCAGTCAGAGTCCTGACCTCAACCCGATTGAGATGCTGTGGCATGACCTCAAGAAAGCGATTCACACCAGACATCCCAAGAATATTGCTGAACTGAAACAGTTCTGTAAAGAGGAATGGTCAAGAATTACTCCTGACCGTTGTGCACGTCTGATCTGCAACTACAGGAAACGTTTGGTTGAAGTTATTGCTGCCAAAGGAGGTTCAACCAGTTATTAAATCCAAGGGTTCACATACTTTTTCCACCTGCACTGTGAATGTTTACATGGTGTGTTCAATAAAAACATGGCAACATTTCATTCTTTGTGTGTTATTAGTTTAAGCAGACTGTGATTGTCCATTGTTGTGACTTAGATGATGATCAGATCACATTTTATGACCAATTTGTGCAGAAATCCATATCATTCCAAAGGGTTCACATTCTTTTTCTTGCAACGGTATCTCATACAGTGCAGCAAGAAAATTAGGAATCTGGAATGCCCTTTTAAAAATAATTCATTTCTGCTTTACAGAAAATTAGGAAATTTAATTCTGACTCCAAGCACTGTCAAACATTGGATTAATACTTGTCACATTAAAAAGAAAAAAAAAACTAAACTGGTCTAATACTTTGTGTAGGAAATTTCTCCCGTAGTGATGGAAAAGGAAATTGGCAATTTCAAATTACAAAGAAAACAGATGATTTCTGTAATTATATTTCTGTTTTAGATAAGACAGTTGATAAACATCAGTGATGTTTTCAGAATACTAGTGAAAAACACTCAGCTCCTTTGCTTTTTTTATATGGTTTATTTGATCTTGCTTCTGTTTTCTGCCTGCAGCAAGCAAGCAATGAATTTTGACCCTGATTATACCTGTCTACATTTAGTTTTGTGTAAAAGAGGAGTTCCACATGAAAGTTCTGTCTTGGTTCTCCTCTTTTGGAGAAGAATGATAACGTTAGGCATAAGGTTTGAAGTTAATTACAGGGCAAAAAACATGAAGTTTTTTAGATCTAAATTGTGAAATACTAAATATTTATAAACTGTCAACATACTCTACAGCTCTGTGCAATAAGAAAACTGGCAATTCATAAAGATTAAAGGAATACTCTAGGAGTCCCTGACACTTGCTCATCTTAAAGGACCACTCTAGGCACCCAGACCACTTCAGCTTAATGAGGTGGTCTGGGTGCCTGGTCCAGCTAGGGTTAACCCATTTTTTCATAAACATAGCAGTTTCAGAGAAACTGCTATGTTTGTGAATGGGTTAAGCCTTCCCCTATTTCCTCTAGTGGCTGTCTCATTGACAGCCACTAGAGGCGCTTGCGTGCTTCTCACTGTGATTATGAATGCTTTCCTATGTGACCAGCTGAATGCGCGCGCAGCTCTTGCCGCGCGTGCGTATTCAGCCGCATGGGAGGAGAAGAGGAGGATAGGAGGAGGAGAGCTCTCCGCCCAGCGCTGGAAAAAGGTAAGTTTTTACCCCTTTCCCCTTCCAGAGCCGGGCGGGAGGGGGACCCTGAGGGTGGGGGCACCCTCAGGGCACTATAGTGCCAGGAAAACGAGTATGTTTTCCTGGCACTATAGTGGTCCTTTAAAGGGTTAAACCATTCTCAACCAATTTAATTACAAAGTTTGTTCCAGGTCATTTTTCAACTTATGAAACAAAACCTAGAATTTGTGCTAAGTGTTTATTCCACTGTAATTTAAGTGCACCCATACAGACTATATATTGTTTTTTTAAATGACAGAAAAGGCTTTCTGTTAATATCCTATATGCATATTTTTGCATAAAATTTTATAAATTAGTAAAACTCAATATAGATTCATGTATCAGTCCTGATTGTTAAATGTCTCATGTCTAAGAGAGGGGTAAGGACTAGGATCTAAATTAATTTTGGCAGCTAATACTAACCCTATATGAAACCCTCACTGACGCTATACCAACCCTAACCATATCGTTAACTCTACACTATCTCTGTAGAATATTGCATATTCTATGTTTCTATTAATTATGTATGGATGTCTGGATTGACATAAGTAACCGATGGAATCAATAAGTCACAAGGCTTTCTTTGTCTGAGAATTCTGGAATGTGGATTGGGGGTCTTGTCCTTATATGGCTAGGGTTATATTCTGACGTCATTATGGTCATATCTATATGGTAACTTAACAAAGGGATACGAGGGCACTCTCTCTTGGCTCTTTTTCCTGTACAGCTACGTAACGATGTAACTTTCCCTTTAGGAGTCCTGCAATTACCATCTGCTGTTGAACATCCATGATCATGTAACATCCTTTGTTGTCTTATTATGTATCAGTAACTAAGAATAAACCTGAAGAAACCGTAAGTCAGATTGAGTATTAGTACTTTTAATTAATATAGACATATATTAATGTGGCAAGCCTTTGGGGCACTGTAGGAATCTATAGTGCCAGGAAAATGGCTTTGTTTTCCTGGCACTATAGAATCCCTTTAAGGAGTTGAATTCTTTTTTGATAGAACAGAGTTTTCTTAATCCTTGCCATGCCACCCATTTCATTGAGTTACTAAGAAGTTGAGCACTATTTGACACATTCTAGTGTCTATAATTCATACTCTTGTATTGACAGATTTCTCATTTGTCTTCCCTACGCATGATGTAGTCTATTATCATGGTCTGACCATGCTCCTGTGTTATTGTTATGGATAGAATCTTTTCCATTTAAAGTTGATGTGTCGTTAAAAGTCAATGAGCACTTCTAAATTTGGAGGTGGTTTCTAATGTTATCTAAGAACCCCAAGCTTACTTTACCAAGAATGATGTGGAAAATTACAGTACTGAATCAGTTAGACTGGTACACAACTCTAACATTAGAAGCATATTTTCAAAACATGCCAGCTACCTTAATAATGCAATAGTGAGAATGTGATTGTGAAATGTCCTTTTCTAAGGGTAAGTGGATTAAGTTGCTCAACGAGTTGTGAGGAGTGACAAGGTGATGTAACCATATTGAGAACCATCACAAGTTCTTCTACCAATGGCATCTTGCCCCTGACAGACTGCATAAGATATACGACTTGGACAATCCCAAATGCTGAAGGTGTCTTACTGATGCGGGCACTGCTTACACATTCGGTGGGATTGTGGAGCTCTGTGTCCCTTCTGGAAAAAGTCAGAAGTCATGCAATTTAATAAATACCTTGACTGAAGGAAACCTAAATATGACTCCCACAACATTTTTTTTTTTGCTTGGCCTTTCCAGCTTTATTCTCATTTCACTAACATGCCTTAGCAACCCATGTCATTTTAGCAGGTACCTCTCAAGAGCTTCTTAAAACGTTTACATGATTTATACTTATGAATATATCTTTCTTGACTCCCACTTAAAAGGTGAAAAAGAATCGGGGGCGGGGCCAAGCCTGCAAGCTGAACAGTCGCATGTAAGCTGAGCTCTCACATGGCTTGCCGATTTCCTGAAAATACTCGCCAAATTCGAGATAAACAACAAACCGGGGTACACTACCTGAACAGAGGGAGACCTGGTGACACACCTGATACCTTTCTCGAGCGTTTTGGAGATCGGGAGCACAAGGTGGCTGGACGTGGCCTGCGGTGACGGAGAAAGGGAGAGACGGCCGCTCTCCTCGTCAATGCACCGGAGACCTAGACCCACTGACACCCTGCTCCCCTCCCCCCGGGACTGGCGTGGTTATCCCGGTCCAACCCTGAGAGGATACGCATATGCAAAGACCCCACAGAGGGAGACACGCGAGCGGCGAGGCGAAACGCTGCCCTGCAGAATGGCTGCCGCTGTGTGTGCCCGACACGCAGAACTGCATGACTACATGGCAATGCTGGATAATCTATTCGCCAAATTCTGGAAGAAGATGGCAGCTAGGGAGCAGCTACCTGAGGCATACAAACCGGCTAAATGCTCACCCATGGCGCTGCCAATACGCTCCCAATGCAGACGCATATTCCCTTCTGCAGGCAGAGCCCGAAAATGGCACCTAAAAAGACGAGGCTCCCTGCGGGCCCGACGACGGGGCTCCGCAGACACAAACACCCTGCAATACCCAGCCCATAAACACGGCATGCAGGGGGACCCTCCAACACCAACATCCAGCTCAGCAATGGGACCCGGCATTGCAGAAGAGATACAGGAGGCACCCTTCGAGCCTCATCCACCTACTCCACGTGGACACAAGCCCCCACTCGGAACATACCACTGGGCACACTCCTAGAACTGTCACGGGACCAACGGGGCGCCGGCTGATCTCGGCAAAGAGTCGAATCTATCATGGCTGGACGAGACGGAACACCGTAATACCCGTAGACACTGCAAGGCGTGGGGATGGCAATGTTTTAGTTTATTGTATTTTGCTTAGCAATGTTTTAATTAGTCATGTTTAGGGGGAATCTTGCCCACACGACGAGGGTAGCTTCCTAGGATCCCTCCTATGACCCTGCAACGTGTAAATAAAATGCAATATAAGCTTGCTCAACCAACATATGCCTAGCATGCTATTAACTCCCGCTCACTTGCAAAACCTGACCCTATGTGTCCCTACCATACATGCAAGGGGATTTATAATTGATTAAGCCAGGTTGAGCATTGACTGCCCCAGCTCCCCCGCTTCTTTACCCAGCGATACATTTAAGCATCTAAGCTGAACAACATAATACCCAAAGTCTCTAACATAGTCTTCATGTGTGTCTTCTCAGACCATCTCTCATGTCTATCTTAGATTATTAAGCACCTATTTAGTTTTAATGATAAAGTTTAAACTCTGTTATATTCACCAATGTGCACTACTCAACTTATTATCACTGACTATACATACACATCTTGTATAAATAAAAAAAATGTGCAACTGAATCTTGTCATGACAATGTATGCTCTCATATGCCTGTGCTTGCTGTCGTGGCACCACAAGCTTGTCTGTACACCCTATTTCACGAAAAATAAAGAATTAAAAAAAAAAAGTGAAAATGAATCAAATATAGCAAGGTTTGTTCAGCGCTCTTTTACCAGGGGAATCTGCGATCCACTGGTGTTGGGACGTTGAATGTATTTGGGGTTCATTGTTGTTATATATGAACAATTGTGTTGGATCATTTCCCGTAATATAGTGGGGCTAACTACCCCTTTATTCCCTTTTTGTATTTTTATGTTCTTTGAATAGAAGTTGTATAACTTCATGTATATGTAATATATATATTTATTTTTCTTGCATACCGTACTTTAAAATTCAATAAATGACGACAGACAAAAATGAAAAAATTTCACAATACCAGATAAATTATAAGTGCATAGACTACATTGAATGGGACAAAATGAATATATTTTCTATATTAATGGCTCTGTAGTTTTAAAATAGTAGTTTTGCTATATAGTGCTTAGCAGAGTGAACGGTACTTGTATCTATATTTGGATGTTACACTTGCATGTTTCTGTGTCACAAGCTTGTAACAAATGGAGATAAATCCACAGCCAGATCTTCTGTTTCTCTTCTCGTTACACACACCAGTAAGCCAGCCCACATTAATTGTCTGTACAAAGTCTGCTGGGAACACTAATCTTAAGATTTACCTCCTACTACAATCACTCTGCCAATAGCAGGGCTGGCTTCTAACATTAGCACAACAATGGGCTTTGAATGACAGTGTTCGGCTACAGAGGGAACATGTCCTGTTAATGTACAACCATGAAAACCAGAATAATTGGAGTGACAGAATGTGTCATATTGTCATTGCATCCAAAGTGATACTTTATGTGATACTTTTTCCTACGTTATCAAAGTTGTTCTTTAAAGTGTGAATTGTCAGAAATTCAAAGTGAATTTAAATTACATTTTTAATTTTAGGTAAAAATGGCTTAACTGGAAAAAAATCTGTTGTGATTGGAGTTTGGTTATATTGCCCTAAATCTGAATTCTCGACAATGCATCTTTTAGTGAATTATTTATTTATAAAATATTTTACCAGGGAGGATACATTGAGATTTCATTGTAATTATAGTCCAGTAGTAGTTGTAATTATTACACATTCTAAGCTTGAGTCCAGCACAATGGTTTTCAACAATTAAATGGTTAAATAATTAAAATAATTTTTATTTCCTGGGAGCGAGCAACACACTACATTGGGATTAAAGAACTAAACAGTGAATTGATGAACAGCAAAATGTAGAGTAAAACAGCTAAATTGGAAAAATAACTGTGTTGGCTTCAGTTTTCAAGATAAACAATCACCATTTACTGTTTAGCGATTAAACCCCTGCGCTGTAGTAAACACACTTTCACCCAGTATAAACCAACATATAATAGACTTGACTAAGAAGACTTTGCGTAGCTCAAGATAGAGTCCTATCACAGTAGAGAAACGTAAACCTGATCTTGCTGAAACCCTAGCACTTAGCATCTTGTTTCTCTGTTTGATCAGGATCTTCCAAGCCTGGTTGATGCTATAGAAACAACAGTGCTTTGTCCACGGTCTCAGCAGGGGCAATTTGCCCTTCCAGCCAAGTGGATATTTGAGGAGAAACTTTATCTGAAAGCAATTGTTTAAGATAGGCTTTGTAACTGTGAGCATCACTATTGAAGGAAGGGTGCAAACTTATACCTACTTCTTATGAACAGATTCAAATCAGTTAATGTTAAGTAAATCTGTGCAAATTAGCACCACAGTTACAAATAGTGTTTACATTGTGCATTACTCCGGTAAACTGAAAATTGCAAAAAGTGTATTTATTAACCCCTTAAGGACCAAACTTCTGGAATAAAAGGGAATCATGACATGTCACACGTCATGTGTCCTTAAGGGGTTAAAGGCAAATCATTACATAGACATTTATTTACCATTCTTATCATTAAATTATTAAAAAAATGTATAAACCACCAACAGATTCTGCAGTGTTGTACAATAGATGAACTAACTGACAAATATTTGCAACAAGACAAGTTGAACGCACAGGAACAGAGGGTGTTGAGGGCCCTGCTCAAATGAGCTTGCATTCTAAATGGAAGGTAGCTATTTAATAAAGATATTATATAGAAATATATTATTTGTTGAACTTTAGGCATATTCACCAGATGTTGAATTATTATGATCTGAATAATATTGTACCTTTTTGAAAGCTGAATATATAAAGAAATTCACAACATATGTATTTACCATATTCCCTAGACCCTTTTTTGAAGCCATCATGCATAGCTGACAAATGGAACATCTGTCAATGTCCCTTTGTTAAGGGGTGAAATAGATCAGTCAATGTTATCTGTGTACTGACGTTAATTATTTTTTTCAAAATGTTTTTATTTAGAGAGCACCATCATAAACAAAAGCACCGTGAAATGGGTAAGTAAAAATATAAATGTTTGGGGAAAACTGTTTTTTCAAAATTATTTTGAGCAATGGTTTGATTTTATACATCTCTGGGAGGAGATGAGAGATTATCCATGAAAATAGGAATTGTAAAGAACTGACAAGGGAACTGCAAATCTTAGGTCAAATTAGTTGACAGAAAAATGACTGGACTGGAGAATTTTTCCAGTTTGCCATAATTCAGTTTCAATTTAACAGATAATTCCCACTGTATATAGCACATAAAAATGGTAAACTGTACTGGTTTTTGTGACGGAACGCTGGTACGCTGTCACTTGGGCCTCAAGGGCTCCTTTGTTTGGGTGGACTCTGGTGGGGAGCGGCCATTTAGACTGTACAGACTTAGACCTAGCCACAAGATGGAGTGACAAGATGGTGCCGAACCAGAGACTGTGTGACCACGTAGGCGGGGGTTGGGACTTTCCCCTTTGTGACTCAGGGAGATGAGTCACCTATTGTTGACTGTATGTAAATCCCTTTACCTAATGTTTTCCTGTGTATGCAAAGTAGGTGTTCTGTGATGTTCTTATTAATGGGCTTAGTGTGATTGGCTGTTTGTTTAGGCCCAGTTTGATTGGTTGCTGTTCCAAACCTTTGTGTGTTTACTAATGAGTTTACTTGTATACAAAAACCTGGGTGTGTCTAATAAAAGTTAGTTCCTGTTCTACCCTTAAGCTGTGTGTGTCTGCTGTTTTTGGGGGAGGTGTTAGCTGGCATCTGTGGTTTGGCGGTGGAAAGAAGCTGTTCAGATGGGTGTGCTCATTTGGGGCACAGGGGGACCTGTCAGTTATGGTCCCAGAATTATCCTGGCCTGGCTCACCAGTAATTAGCCAAATCATTTAGCACAGTTTGCCCCGTTACCTGTGTTCCAGCCGGGCTCTGAGGATTCTTCATCCCTGGTGATGCACTTCCAGCTTCTGCAGAAGATGTAATCCGATCCAGTTGTCATTCGTTGGGCACTCTGTGCATGAAAATTTGCATAGATTTGACATTAGCCAACGCAGAACTCTTGCTGTGGGCTGGATAATGATGGGTCAATGCTGCTAACGGATGTGGAGTTACACCTCCGGCAACAGAGGAGTAAAAGTGGACATGTCACCCCCCCAGCCCCCCAACACACAAACATCTCATCCTCCTTAGAACAAGCATGACATTTCATCTATACATTGTGATAGCAGTTAGGCAAATGTAGATTGGCAGAAAAACCTATTTAAAATAGGTCTTTCTTTCAAAGACTCTATGCCGACAATTTGATTGACAGTGGAGAGCAGAAAAGGCCACCTACAGACAGTCCTTCTGCTCTCCGAAGAATAGCAACCACAGCATCTATGTTGCGGTTCCTATGAAAACACTGCTGCTAGAGCTGGCTAGGGAGTATAAGAAAAAAGTGACTGATTTAGCTCCATTCAGACGTCAGCATGCTGGCAACAAAGACAGCATGTCAGAGTACTTGAGATTTGCCCGGCTTGAGGAAATGTTCATAAGCAGGGCAAATTAATGAAGATCACATGAGTGTTCAAGGATGGACCAGAGGGAGGTGTTTAATGAAGAGAAACACGTGCTCTGAAAATGGCAGCACTGGAACGGAGGTGAGTATATCTCAAAACATTACATGTATCTTTGTGATATATGATGTATTCAATGTATGTGGGGGCAATTTATGGTAAGTAAACTTTTCCATAACAGGTTCACTTGAAACTCCAGGCATAATGTCCACTTCAAATCACTTAGTGACAATGGTGCTTTGAGTAACCTTTTAAAGTAGACTGTGGTGCGGAAGATAATAGTAAGCAGAAGGGTTGGAAAGGTGCAAATGTGAGTTCAGGGAAGACACAAACTTCTAAAAGAAGTCTCCAAACCATCACTACTACATGTCATGCAGTGTTATTATGCAATTAAGCTGTAGATACTATTCCCCAGTTCTGAGTGAAATATTTTGAGGAGAGGCAAGTCCCTCTAAGTAATATCATTAGCATGCCAGTGGTCATTAGGGGTTAATGCAGGTTTGAAGAGATAGTTTAAAAGATTGTTAAATAGTGGGGAACTTAAATCAATCTAAGTATCAGAAAGGAAATCTACACGGAGGCAATTACTTGCTGTGTACAACTTTTCACCAACACAGTAAGTGTTACAAAACACTGAGCAATTAGCATTGTATTTACCCAATCCAAACATTAGACACAATAAAGGCCAGATTAGTTTATTGTGCGTATAAACTACTGTAGGAAGTAAGGTATCACTCTTCCCCAAACCTCCTCCCCCACATCAAGGCATTATTTGCACCTCTAGCATGTAAACAAAACACATTTATGGTTATACACTAAAATGTATTGTTGGGATTTCACCAAGCAAATGCAAATGTAGAGTCAAAATAGCCACGGTGAAAACATAAAATGACTATAAAAATGTGTAAATTTCTGATAACTCACTGAATATCCCTAATTTTCTTTGTTTTCCAAGTTTTCCAGGAAGCAGATCACACTGCCATTGTAAAAGTGATCTAGCAGTGTTCTTTGAAACCCTAGGCCAGGCATCTCTTTCACCATCGCTAAACTGGGAGGCTACTGCCTGGCACCTGACTAACCTATTCATACAGATTTATGCTGATTACTAGGTTGGAAAAAAATAGGTCAAAATCTATAAACCACTATTGTAGATAAAAAATAGCCTGTGTGATAAGGGATGGATAGATATTAGTAAAATGCCTGCTGCCAATCAAAGAAAGATAATAAAGGCAAGAATCTCACAAAGGGTAATACTTATAATGGTCAAACTACAGAGATAAGGTCTGTGCACCAAAACCACTGCATTAAGATGTAAACAATGTTATTGATATGCCAATGTGTTTCTTCCTGGTAAACTGGCTATTATGTATTTACAGTAATGTGATAGTTTGGTTTGAAGTGACAATAAAGTTACTACTATCTACAGGACAGTATAGAATACAAATTGTAATGTGACCACTGGACATTTTAGCTTAAATGTTTATAATGGGAAAACGATGGTGGGTAAATGGACAAATGGACATATCCCGAGCAAATTGTTTCATTACAAACAAATGTCATTTAATCATGATTTTAGATTGCAGTTTTGTAAGATGAAAATAAAATATTTGTAATCTAAAAGTGGGACACTCCAGTGGAATCGGGTAGGTTGCACTGGTGATTATAGTACTTTTACAATTTTAATTGCTGTTCTGATCATAACACTTTCACAAATCTGACCAAGTGTCCAACTAAACATTGTCATTGATTATTCATAGTTTCGGTGCTGTTTACCCACTGTACAGAACTGTAAAATGGCAGAACTTAAAATACTAGAGACGTACTGGATACCGCACTCACCAAGTAACCCAGGTGCTCTGATACCAGGGCTGGCTAGGCCTCCCTTTCAAGATATGCTGAATAAATAACGGTTCAGACACTCAGGGATAACAAAAACTAGCAGCTTTATTGCGGCAAAAACAGCACTTTGCTGTTTTTGCCCCAATAAAGCTGCTATTTTTTGTTATCCCGGAGTGTCTAAACCGTTATTTATTCTGCGGAACTTAAAATAATGGAACAAAATGCATTATTTTACTAAATCTACAGTTTAACATATTTACCAGGCAGTGCAATCTAGGTGTCTGTTGCTATAACTTTGTGAAATCATGTGTTCTTCTCAGGTAAAAAATACATTTTATAGCTTTATAGAAAAACTTTTAGGCTATGCATTGTTAGTAGAACATCTCACACAGATAATTCTACTATAAAAACTATGTGCGGCACATCTGTTATCATGTACTTCGGCAGCCATGTTGGAAGAGATATAAGAAATCTTAAAGCAAGCATACCTTTTTAATCTGTACATATCTTTTCAGATAATCTCCAAATAATGAAAATACAAGCAGACTGTTATTCATGAATGTGGCATAGGAAATACTTATAAATATTGTTCATTACCAAAGCAGTTTGTTACAAATATTAGGAAGTAACAACATAAATTTTTTGTTCATATAAATATGTGTCTCTTGAAACAGCAAATCAAAATGTATTCAACATATATGTACACATACACAATTATATATAGTTAGGTCCTATTTTTTCAGTTTGTATTCTTTGTAATCATCACAATACAGTCTATAAAGATCGTATGCATATACAAATTGTCCTGCTAGTTTAATTTCAGTAGCTCATTATAGACTAGCTAAATGAGTGGTACATTCCATTCTACCATAAGATCCAACAAATCAGGTCCTTAAAGGAACACCAGCATTAAAAATAAATATATTTGTTACGTTAGAATGTACCATACATAGAATACGTTTCCCCCTGCCAGTAAAATAATAATAATAAACACCAGTAAACCTACTTGTAATCCTGCGCCAGGCAGTCCTCATCAGGGAGTTGTTCCTCCCTCAATGAGACTATCTGGATGATTTTAGGTCCAATCAAAGCATCTCATAGAAAAGCAGTGGGGACCTGCGGGGCATGTGCAACAATCATTGACATGTGCAACAATTACTGGGCAATCAAATTCCTTCTATAGAGAAATACTGAATCCAATGCTTCTCTATGATATCCATTGTGGTATTGAATGTGAATATTTTCAATTATTGAAAGTCTTCACAAGAAAGGTTCGCTAGTGGCTAATTGGCATCAACAAGAGGTATATTTGTGACAAATGTAAACGTTGCTACTTCTCACAAACGATAATGCTTACATTTGTCACACTGCAGGTACAGGGTCTATGTTTAAAACCACTACATTAAAATGTAGTGGTTTTGGTGCTTAATGTCCCTTTAAGAGTTTAAACAGTAAAGCATACATATTTTTTCAAACCTCTTGATGATCTATTTGTCCAAATTTATGCACATATTAGAATCATCCAATTTACAATACAAAAATAAAACTGTCTTGCATTTACCAATGTGCCAACAGGAAATCTTTTACAATAAAATGTTTTTAGCAAAGCTGTTTCTAGAATACATGACGTTTGTGACACTGTGTGTCTCTGTTTAAACAAATCAAATATCTCAAAATATATCCTTTTGTAACATATATTATTGTTAAATATCACATATGTACAAAAAAACAATAAACGGTATTAAAATACTCATGTTCGGAACTTTTTCCAGTAGTTCATAATAAAGGTGGTAAGATGGTTGAGCTTTTGCACAACACTATTATTCAGCATTTTATTAGACAAAACATCAAGCCGACTATCCAGTTTCCACAAGCCTTTTCCTTTGTTCTGAGCCTTTACTTCTGCTTGTAAGAGTCTCTTGTAAAACTTCCAAAGTATTGGGTTTTCATCTAGTTTTGGAACGTGAGCTACTTTACCAAGTCCTTGTGTCACGATCTCCACGTTGATACATTCACTGAACAGTCTTTTCTGCAGAAAAACAGAACATATCAAAATTTTTGTATATGTGCTTTAGAATCTTCTAGACAGACAAACTGGACATTAATAATAATAAACATGCAGAAAAAAAGTAGTTTGCAAGACCCAAGTGCAAAGACACATGAGGACATATAACGGTAAAGGAAAAGTGTGAGTTAAAACTCAAAAACCAGGAGACCATGGAGTGGAATTTTATCTCTTTGAAGCTCAGTGTTTTATTAAATTTGTATAAAATATTTAGTAAATGATAATCCATCCAATCATAATACCATTCATGCCAGGACTAGCCAAAGCACACATTGCAAATGAGCAGGAGAAACTCTTCTCTTTATACTTTCTCTATGGTGAATGCCAGATACAAAAGACAAAGCCAAGATGGAGGTGCCCAGTTGCAGGATAGCGAGATGTGTGGATTTCTAAAATTCATTTTATTTTTCACACGTCTCAAGCACAGACTTATAGATAGAGGAATAAGTGAACATTATATTAAAAATCCTGGGAAGTGACAGTTCCTCTTTAAAATAATAGTTTGACGATACCCAGTAATCAGAAGAATTTAAGACTACCAATTTAAAATTTCGAACTAAAATATGTGCGGTTATAAAATGAACAAAGTTTTCTGGCAGCAACGGAGAAAGCATTGCTGTAACTGGTCATACATTAAGTACAGTTTCAGATCACCTAGCATATCTGATTGTTTTTTAAGATTCAAGATGTCAAGTTGTTGAATAGGTAAAAAAATGCAAAGGTTTGTGGGATATGCAAATTACTAATGAAAATGTGTAAAGGTTTCACAGTAGCTGCTCGCTTCTGTGGCAAGACAGGAAATAATGAAAATGCATGAATACAACTAGTCATATGTGTTATCAAAAACCATCAGGAAAGCTTCTTCATTTGTGTCCAGTTCTGCACAAATGTGAATAGAAAGTGGAATGCTGTAGTGCATATTGCCTAAACTCCTACTAAACCATTTTTTTTATAGGATATTAAACAGTTCTTATTAAAAATCTTGGGAAGTGACAGTCCTCCTTTAACACCTGCGGGTCTACTTACAAAATGGACATGTACCAAATCGATCAAGGCATCAGGATATTGCAATTCAGGCTCCAAAAGAGCCAGGATTGTGTCTGGTTGTTACCCTGTCCAAACACTGCCATGAGGCTGGAATCCTCTTGATTTTATTTGGCCAGATCTTTTTAGCCAACAGTAACTGAAGAAAGTAATAAAAAAGAAAAACATTTTGCTCTTTGATGCTCATTGCTGGGTGCTCGGGGACATCAGGGGAGCAAAATATTACCATGACATGTGGACAAGACAGTGCCCACTGCCCAGTAATCCACCTCCACCAGTGATTAGCAGGTGGGTGCTCTAACATAATACATGTGGGGGACATGCCATGCTCGTGAGAAATAAGACTTGATTGCCAGAGTTCTCTGATTGGTTGGTGGGATTAACAAAGGTATATCTACCATTATTATTTTGCACTGGCATGTCCCACTCTTACATATACAATAGCTATCATCTACGGTCCATGGGTGGGACCTAGAGGGTGCTAATATCCTTCCTGTTTTAATTTATGATTAACAGTTCTGAACCACCACATATGGGTAGTGTCTAGGGGAACACTATCTCCCCCCCCCCCTCCCAATTTAAATTTTATTGCCCCATCTGCCTCCTACATGAGTGAATTTACAGTACAATAACATGTCCCTCCATTGATTATGTTAGAGCCCACGCTGGCCATGAAGGAGGGAGGACAGGGGAGTGGACCTTAACCTGTTCATCCACCAATGTTAACATTTTGCCCCCGTGGGTGGGGTCGCATTGAGGGACCAGTGTTAGGTATATTAAAAACCATTTTGTTTTACTTGCTTCCATTAATATAATAGTGGTTCATCCTGCAACAGCAGACCCTTAGCAAGATACATATAATTCACTGTTTAGTGATTAGTTTACTAGCTGCCCACTCTCTAGTTTTATTGATGAGCAGTCACCGATTGCTTACAATTTAGGAGATATGCCTCCACCCATGGCATGGCATGTGGGGGCATAAGGAAATGGTAGAAAACCCCTATAGTTAGAAAGAGTCATACAGACACCCAAAAGATTTGGCTTTAGTAAATATGAGACTTGCCAATGGGGTTGGAATTTGGTCTTTAATGAACTTTGTGCATCTAAACAAAATTCTTGTTTACTAAATAGATTCACTGCAATTTTAACGAATATTTTAAATATATAAATATTATTTGTGATATTTAGCAATTTGCTTTATTTCCTCAAATATATGAGGCAGCTCAGAAAGGGAAATGCGAGAGAGTGGAGAAAGTGTAGATAACATTTGTGGGGATGTGGAATTTTCAATTTTTAAAAATCCTAATTACCTGAATACCTGTTATATGAAATCTGAAAGGCCAGTATAATGCTGCAGTTGGAATTTACACATCTTTGGTGTTAAAAGAAAACCATATGTAACTGCCCATGCAATCTACATTGCTAAAAGGTAAAGTGTAGAAATGTATTTTTAGGCTTTCTAACTGCAGGGTCTTTTGTGCTTCTTTGAAAATTCAAGAAATAAAGAGCTCCTGAAATTCTGGAAAAGCAGGTTTCTATTATGTGTACACAGCAAAATATCCAGGTTAAAGTGATGTTTGCAGCCTTTGTTCATCAATGTATCAAATAATAAGGTTATTATTGTTCAAAAAGTATAAAAGCTTTATTAAAGGACCACTATAGTGCCAGGAAAACAAACTCGTTTTCCTAGGACTATAGTGCCCTGAGGGTGCCCCCACCCTCAGGGTCCCACTCCATCTGCGCTGAAGGGGGGTTAATTCCTTACCTCTTTTCCAGCGCCGGGCTACCTCTGAGCTGGGGCTCTCCTCCCTCTTCTTCCGTCATCGACTGAATGCGCATGCGCGGCAAGAGCTGCATGCGCATTCAGCCAGTCCATAGGAAAGCATTCTCAATGCTTTCCTATGGACGCTGGCGTCTTCTCACCGTGAAAATCACAGTGAGAAGCGCGGAAGCGCCTCTAGCGGCTGTCAATGAGACAGCCACTAGAGGCTGGATTAACCCATAGTTTCTCTGAAACTGCTATGTTTACAGCAAAAAGGGTTAACCTTAAATGGACCTGGCACCCAGACCACTTCATTAAGCTGAATTGGTCTGGGTGCCTATAATGGTCCTTTAATGCAACTTAGTTACGTTAGCACATTTAAAAAAATTAAAAAAAAAAGTAAAAAATATTGTCTCTTATGCACAACAATATAAAAAAAAGGATAAGAGTAGAGTGATCCACCTCAGTTTGAAAAATAGGGTAGTATATCTTTTACTACCTTTTTTTTTAATATGAGACTTCCCCGTTTTCAGTATTTTATATATTCTGCTTAATAAATGTGGGAACAGAATCATAGAACCATCGCCCGATTTTGTTGATTGTGTATGATATTCGCTATAAAGATTCAGGTCAGAAGGCTCAGAAACCTGAAGGCATCAGAACTCATGCAGTGGATCTGCAAAGTATACTGCTGTGTGAACATATCAATATCAGTTTGCACACTGGTTATCAAGTGAACTAGATCTGTAACACAGTTGAAGAAAGTATGTTAAACACCCTATTGAGTGTTAATTCTATTTATAACTCTGGACATAACAGCAAATCTTCTAATTATTGTTGAGTGATGAACCTCAGCGATATTTTGGGTGTGTATTTTTTATATATAAATCTAACTCTCTTGCAGCAAGCAGTAAACAAGAAGATGGGTCACGTTTCAGTTGTCAGTCATTTTTTATCATTAACTAAATCATGAAAAGATCAGATTTTTAAAGTCAATATATTCACAATGATTCTTAATTACACTCAAAGTTTTATCTATTTCATTTTCCTGTGTGTAACTCCTTGGTTTGAGCTTTTTAGGACTAATGATGGTCCCAATGATTTAGCTATGAATCCCTGGGGGAGGGACACTATGAATCATAAAACTAATGAATATTGGCTTATGCACAGGTTTAGGATAGGAGACAGACTGGAACATAAGGAGTACACAATATAGGTTAAAAGTCACATTTACCCACTCACAAAGAGGAAAAAAAGATCAATTTAACATGATGGCTGCTTTAATACTACAATCAAGGCAGAATTCTACTGGACAGATGCTGATGTGAAAGCCAGACAGGAATAGATAACAAGGAAATTGAAGGATGACCATGCATGAGTGGTTGGTAAGTGGCTGATGGGATCACTGCTGTTAGGTAATAGCAGCATAACTCATAGTTAAAAGGAAAATTTATTTTAAAGGAACTCAGACTGGAGTTGATAATTGCACCCATACCACATTACTGTATATAAGCAATGCATAAAAAAATTTAAATAAAATAAAAGATGTCTTTGAGGTTTTTCCAATTTGTGCAAATCCTCAGAATTTTAATTCTGCACTGCTCTCTCTCAGACCAGAAAGTGTCTTTAAAGAATTAATAAAGTTACCCAGAGCACTTCATCTCAATGGTGGTCTGGATGAATGGGTCCTGCAAAATAAAACACTGCCGGGTTAAACACACCTCTACTGGCTGTCTTCTAGCTGGCTTCCTTTACAACTGAGTAATACCTGGTCACGTGGGGTTGTAGCTCATAGAAAAGCATTGAATTCAACGCTTTACAATGAAAAGCAGGTAGAAGTGTGTCTGGGCACATGCCGTGCATGCACATCACAGTTTCCAACGCTCCTTTATGAAGAAAAGGTGAGTACAATTGATTAAAGGGTTGAAGTAGCTTGGAGGTGAGATGTAGTTTTAAATTTGAGTGGTTAAGTTCAAAGTTAAAGAAACACTACAATCAACATAACCACTAGGGAGTGCTGTAGTGGTTATGGTGGTTATGTAAACATGTTAACATGTGGAATTCAAGTTTCTTCTTACTTTAGGGACCAAAACGAAACATTCAAGGGCTAAACCTTCTCTTTGAAGAAGTTGGAACCACAGTATTTGTGACGGTTGGAGCTTCTCTCTTAACCAAATCTTGCCACTTGGAGTCAGCTGCACGCCAGCAAGTCTGATAAACAAACTGCCATCTCGTTGCCCTGCAGGATGATAGGAGTTAGGGTTATGATACATCATATATTTGCAAAGTACTTACCTCTTCTGCAGTGGTGTGGAAAATATGTATATATATAAAAATAAGTGAAAATGTAAATACAATTACTACTGTGAGCTTAGAATTAATGTAAAAACAGAAGTTCTCCTTATATTGCATGGTGGTCAACACAGCTACAGCTTGCAAAGCATTGTGGGAGTGAAAACAACTACTAAGCAGTTTCATTGGTTTAAAGGAAGTGATAAAACTCAGATACAAACAAAAATAACAACAACAAAAAACTAAACAGAAATGCAAACGTCTTCAATAAAACAACTGCATGATAGCCTGGCAGGGAATCCACAGTGACAGGATTAAAGGTTTTCATACTGCCTTTTGTGTTTTACATATGTTTTATATGTGCTCTGAAATCTTTTTTTTTTTACCATTATACTACTCTAGAGCCTGAAGATATAGCAGTGACAAAGACAATATGGGGATAGGTAGGAGCATGCTTTACAAGCACAAAAAAGGTAGGTTATGGATCATTTTTGAAATGATTCAATTCCATGTACATATAAACATAGAATAACATGTTTGTTTCTACATTTAAACCTTTTCCTGATTTACTGAGCACATTATTATGAGGATAATGAACTTCATAATAAAATGATGAACTTACATCTGTTCAGAAAGGACGTAATAAAGGGAAGATTAATTGGCACATGCTCCACTTCTAGGCCTTCTTCTGTGATACAAAGCAACTTTCCACGTAACTTTACATTTTTCTTTATAAATTTCTCTGGTATGTCTTTGGCACTTGTGAATTTTGTTACCTTTAAGAAATTAAAAGCATATATAAATATTGTTTCTAATTATCAATTTTATGCAAAGTCTGAGTCACAAACAAAGTGATTAAACAAAAGCTAGATACAAATTTATCTTTTCTAAAAATGTAAAATTAATTTTTTTGTGTAGGGATTACAACAGCACACATGAACAAGGACATGAATTGATAAAGGGTATAGAAACGTTTGAAAATAAATCTTTTTGTAGCACTTGGTGTGCACATTTGCAATTGTTTGCGCTGCCCTAATTTTTTCTATTTTTGTGGAGCACACGTGAACAAGAAGGGTTTTCTTGGTGCCAATTACATGCACTGTCAAGTTTGGTTATCCCAAAATGTCAATCTGTGTTTTCAAAATACCAATTAAGACAATATAAATAATAATTTTATGGGAGGAACCATTTAATGTTCTGAAAAGTTGGTTTGCCTGCTATAGAGCAAAAATAAAGAAACAAACAAAAATGCATTTTCTCATTTAGAA